CCTTTGAAAGCTGAGGAACTGCTGGGTGAGGAGTGCTTTCTACAGGTGAAAATTATTCAACTGATTATTAAAAGAATCACTACTGGTAGCAAAACTGGTTTCTGGTTTTAATTCTAAATAGTTTTAGAGGAAAATTCTCCTCTTCCCCAAAGTTTTGAAAAACTAGTGGTATTTAAATTAATTCATCATATTGTCAGAATATGGTTACTCTCCTCTTTAATTTTAATTTCACATTACATATCATCCCATTTTTACCTTGTAATGTTCATTTAGAGAGCCAAATAACTTTTATAATAACGTTTACACTTATCCACTTTATTTTATTATTCAATATTAAATAGTCCAAACAGAACATGAAACACTTGTTTACAGAAAGTAATTTTTTTTTTCTGCTCTTAAACGTTTTCACACATTGTCACGATTGTCACAACTAGGCTTTTCTCAACTAGTTCATGGGAACATAATGATTAATGATTTACAACTTGGAGTTGATTTAACCAACACATAATTTTTTTAACTGGCATCGTGATTGCTGAATAGTAATATTAATAACTATTTCTCTCTAATTAGCATTAGCATGTGTTTATTACTTTCAAAGAGTTACCTGTGTATTCATTGCCCATCTTCAACAGTGACTTTCACTAATTTCAAAATATAGTAGGAAGCAGGGTTAGTTTACAATTTACTTTTTACAGTTTATTTCACTTCCCCTTTAATAGGATCTGTGACAAAAGCCAGCTTTGTTTTTGTACAAAGTTTCCAAAACAGTCTTAAGTGAAGTCCAGATGTGCAAGTTAGAAAGCTGTATTTTTGCAGTGCTTGGTGGTGGGGAGACTGACGTGGCAAATAAAGACAGTTTGGAGAAAACAGATAAATGGTCTTTTTCTCAGGTTCAGAAATTAACTTCAGGCTGAATTTTCCTCTGCTTGTTCTTGAAGGCTCATAAGCTGAACCTTTGACTCTCATTTATAGCAGTGATCACTAGTAATTTATTTTCCCTTGGAAACAGAGGCAGCAACCTTTAAATTTAATCTGAGATTGAAACTGTCCAACTAGTCTGCCTCTCTACTTTAAGATCTCTCTTCTTAAGTAATCCTCTACCCTGCACCTTTCTTTGTTGTCATTTTAGCCTGTGTTTAAGACAATTATTTAGTATTTCCAAAAATTTGTCTCATTGAACTTTGCTTGATTCCATAGAAAAAACCAGTTTTTCGTGAAGACATTGCAAAAAGTGATTTTTGATATCTGATTCCTTAACTATGTTTTTTTTTTTTTTAATAGTTACAGAAACTGTCATAGGAAGTTTTCTCAAATAACATAAAATCACCAAATCTATCCTCGGTAAATTTAGTACAATCCCAGAAAGTTACATTAGATTTAGGAAAACTTTAATTCAAGCTTGGGAGAATTGCAATGAGGAAATTGGGAACAACTGAGTTGTGATTTTGATATTGTTAATCAGGAACATGCTACTTCATCTCCCAGCAAAAACCTTGTTACCTCTGATTTTCCTGTGTTGCTGGGTGGACCTCAAAGCCTATTGCCCACAGTTGGACTGGCATCAGCTGCACAGAGGTGAGGACCAGGGAAACACAGGTCCTGGTAACCTCACAGATGGCACTGTTAAAGAGAGGCAGGAGCCTGTAAAAGCACGGACACCACAGCACTGTAAGTGGTGTTTACCCAAGATGACAGAAGATGGTTCTCCACCCACTGCTTTTATTAATTGCAGATGTCTCTTTCTCCCTTGAAAATTGGGGCTGCTAGTTGTAAGATGCAATTTTCAGGTATCCTGAGAGAAATAATGTTCCTTTTTACTATGCAAATTTCTTTTTTCAATGTTATATAACATTAATTCTGCATACAATTTTCTTTGTACCTTAAAGCAGTTCAAATAATCAATTTTTCTATTTCATAAAATAGCCCCTCCAGTTTTTTCTTGTTGCTATTATTTCTTAGTTATTTTTTCTTTTTGTCTATTATTTCTTAGTAGCACAGTTCACAGGCAGGGTAATACAATTAGTTCCAATTTTAAGTAGCATTTCTAATAGTACCTCTAATGTTTATTTTCAATTTATCACACTTAAAGAAAACAAACAGATAAACAAAGTCCTGCCCAATACAACTGGAGCAATAATTCTTTTTTGTTACTTTTCCTTGTCCTTTTTACAAGTTTCTCTGTCCTGTGGAATACTGGGGTATGAGTATTTTAACACTTGTTGCTTTGTCTTATAAATTGACACATTTATTCTTTGCTAAAGTATTTGTTTCATTACTGAAATGTCAGCTCCTAAACTCTGTGGCTATTTCACTTTAATGTGTAAGATCTTGGGTATATTCAGACCATTCATATACTGTTATAATCTGCTTAATTTTGCTGTGTTGGAAGTCCATTTTTGTAACTTCTGAAGTAGACATTCCAGTCAGATATTGGGAAAATATCTGATGTGGCTGGTTCACCACTGAAACTGGTTGTCCAAAGCGTTTTTGAAATCTGTGCCTTCAGAGCTTGAGCAGAAATATCTCTCAATAATTTTATGTAACTTTGAAGTTATAGCTGTCTTTGAGGTTAACCCTGTTTTGATCAAGACCTTTTATCAGCTGGGGGTCCCTTCTAACCAAAATTATCCCTTGGTTCTATGGTAGATCTGCAGCTAAGAACTCTTGAGGACATCTATACAAAGTGTGGATGCATGAGGTCATAAGCTCACTGGTGACACAGATTGTGTCCTTTTGTGATTCTGTAGTATCTTCAGAATCACTTTAACTTTGCTTGAGCAGCTTTTCCAGATCACTCAGTCTGTGACTGTGCTCTGCACTTCTCCTAGAATTTGAGCTATACCTACAGGGCACATTACATCTGTTAGCTGTCACCTATACAGTGAGCTACTGCAACGTCAGAGCAGCTTAAAGGCTCCCCCAGGGACTCCTTTCCTCCTGCAAGCACAAAAGTAATTTCAAATACTTGCCATCTGGTCACTGCTCTGAGAAAGTGTGGAACCACTGGAAATCATAGAATTCGAAGCTGTTTTGAACTAATATTGTTCTACCAGAGCCTGGCCCCCTGCTGTGAAGTGTTACAATTTTTTTTGTGTATTTTTGTATATTTGAAAACACATTTTCAAATTTACTTTGGAAAGTTTGATTCAGAGACGTGCTCAGTCAAACATGGAGGGAACAGTGCAAGTGGCAGAAACACCCTATGGCTATTTGCAAGTAGTGGCAATGATGCTGCCAGACTCACGTGAGCATTTTGGCATTGGTGCTCAGGAGGGGCTGCATGTGTGTTTGTGTGTATGACTGAGGAGCAGACATCCCAGAACAGTAACAGTGTGTGTGTTGGGTACTGAGAGGTGAGTGTCTATGAATAAGCTTCTTCAGTCCATAGGTACCTCTGAAGTGGAAGAAGTTATGTACTGGGACTGTCTCCCATGCATGTGGTTATTTGTGTGTAGGAGATGCGTTCCCAGAGTATTTCATGCACCCACTTCCTTTCTCTGATAAAATGTTTTAACACTACATTTCCCATTCCATGCACTGTGTAAAAGACTGTAAAATAAGGTTGCTAAGAGCCTTGTTTGTTTCATTTTCTATGCTAATTTGAATTAAGGCTTTAGAGAACTGAAGAGGCTCGTTTTGAAACTCCATTTGCTAAAATTATCCTTACAGGCTTGAACATAATTGTACTTAGCCAACGAAATATGAAGAAAAACATGAAAGTGGTTTTATGACAGAACAATACTTTCCAAATTTATATTTGTTTTGAATATCACTGCATTTTTGTAAATTATACATTTTAATTAGGTCCAATCAAATATTGGACTCAATAAAAATAATATATGGTGTTTATATATACATATATATAAACAGGTAGCATATTCCAAATTTTCTATATGCTCATTCATAAATCATGACTGTGATCTTTTCTGAAAGTAGTCAGCTTAATGCTGACTCAATTTCAATAAACTTTTTAACTAAAAACTTGTTTCACAATTTTTTTCATGCACATAAAAAAGTTTATTTAATGAAAGTTATGTTAAAATAATGATGAATTCTTAATTACAGAAATCTTTATTGTATATGATACGAAACTGTAGATTGTTTCTACTGAGAGATGCAGAACAGAAAGAAGGAAAATACCCATTAAGTCACAGCTCTGTACAGTTATCAATAAGGTTTTCATTTCACTCCAGTGCTTTGACCACTCTGTATGGTTAAATTGAGAAGTGTCAGAAGTCTCTTCTTGTCAACAGAGAATTTAGGAAAGATCTGATATTCAAGGAGTTTATCTGTACAAGTCTATTGCTACAGAGTCATGAGTTGATACATTACGAAATCCCGTTTGGGCGTATCCATGTTTGTACTGTAAAACAAAGTTCTCAAAACTAAAAGTAACAGCACACTTGGGAAAATCTGAATTTTTCGGGTGACATAGGCACTGCCTAATGATGAGTTTTTTGTAAACACAGAAACAACAGACTTCCACATTATCTCACACTAATAGGAATACAAATTCTGCAGCAAAAACATACTGGATGCCTAAAAAAAGTAAAAGATATCTAAATGAAGCAAAATAAGTATACAGTGAATATGAAAAAAATATAATTAACCACCTAAGCACAGAAAAAATATAGTAAGACAATATGCAAACTTTTATTTTTTATTTAAAACAAAATTAGAGACTCAGGCATAGTAGTAATGTCAGAAATGAATAGGAAAGTACTCTGATGGTGGTTAATGAGTCCCCTCTGACTTTCTGGAATGCATATGCCTTTTCTTAATAGATCTTACAAATTTAGCAAGTTATAAAAACATACAACCAGTCATTGTTTTGTCCATTCTAAAACTAGAAAAACTAAACTAGCCTTAAGACAAGAGATGGAGTGATGGTCTCTTGCCTCTGCATTGGCTGTTGTGCTGGTTCCAATATTTCAAACAGAAAATGAAGTCAATCAAGTTTGATAAAAGTATCACACTGATTTTTTTTTTTTTCCCCACAGATTAAGATGCTTGGTAAAGCAGCTGGAGAAGGGTGACATTAATGTGGTGGATTTAAAAAAGAATATTGAATATGCAGCATCTGTTCTGGAAGCTGTTTATATTGATGAAACCAGGTAAGTGAAAGGGAAAAACCAAAAAGGAAAAGATGTTGTGAACTGCATTTTAGAAATTTGGTTTTTGCATGCAATTGTAACTGACATGAGCTGAAGGTCTGTGCACATCAGAAGAAGCTTATGTGGCTCTTAGATCTTTTAGTCACAAGGTTAAAGCAAGTAAGTTTCAAAGGTCAGATGTAATTGTTGCCTGGGGAGAAATGCTCAAAGAAATGAGTCAGAATACTATAATCTGGTCAGTAAATACATACATTCTTGAAAAGCTGTGATTTATTTTATATTGTTTCATGCTTTGTTTATGATCATTTTTACTGCCAGTATGAATGGTAATCATCTATACCATGGGTTGACCTCAATTAAATTAGAAATCCTAAGTATTTGGCTTCTTGAAAAAATTTCAAGATATGTACTATATTGAAGTTAAATAGCTAACTTACAGCATTTCTTTCTGCTTGCTGATCTCTTCAAGTTTTTTTTCTAAGCAGAAAGGTCTTGTAAAGATGTCTGCCAAAACTGCAATACTGTTGGAGTGTGCAGTGTATGTCTCAGTTCTATACTGCATTTAAGACTTATTTCATGGACCTAACACTGTCTCTCTGTGTTGTGTTCCCAGCCCTCCCTCCCCTTACAAATCTACATAGTTGATATCATGCTTGAAGTACTGCTTCAACATTTTTCTGATTCTTGTGATTTACACACTAAAACTTGCTAGTCCAGAGTTTGGAGCATTTGCTATTGGGGCAGTAGAAAGCCTACCCATTTGAAAACAGAAGAATGAAAACAATAGCAAATGAAGCTGGTGCTAGTGATCCATTTTCAGAGATTATATGACAGACTAGGTTGGCAGGATCACTGATACTGGTGTGCTGCTCTTGGAGTGCATGCATATCCAATTCTGTAAAAAGCTGACTAAACAGGCTAAGGTGACATGGAAAACTTTTCTGATCATCCTCCCAGCTGCATGTTCTAGGGGACACTTTCAACTTGATCCCAATTTGAAAAACAATAGGTACCTCAGTGACTTCCAAAGGCCTCACATGTGTTATGAAGATGAACTGAATGAATTTAAGGTAAATATTTTAAAATATTGGTAATTAATATGCCACTATTGGTATACTTATGTCATTTTTGCTGGTAAAGTTATTCCAGCTTCTTTTATATAAAATCAAGGGTTAATTTGTGAATTTACATTAGTTTGCAGTCATATTTATAGTTCAATTGGTACAGGTCCTTAGGGTGCCAGATTTTTTATCTATCTATCTATCTATCTATCTATCTATCTATCTGTCTATCTGTCTATCTATCTATCTAAATATATTACGTATATTAAAATTATCGACAAACTTCTCTTTTGGCTCATATTACCATAATAGAGGCCATAAAGGAACAAAAGCAGCGTATCATTGAGCCAAGTGCCAGTGGAGGCTGAATTAGCTTGTGTGGTTGCATTTGTCCTTGTTCCCACCAAAGAATACAGGTTCTTTGTCCTGCACAGAGCTACCTCTGTGGGAGCCTGGAACTGAGTTAACTGGTCTCTCTAGTAGATTAGAAATAATAGTTTAGATCAGAAGCAAAACGGCCTATTCCTGCTGAGCCTGAACATGTAATTTTATACATCACAAAGTTCAAATGACTTCAGTGAGTTTCTTACATATGATTTGCTGTTCAGTCAGTGTCTGCAACTCACATGAAAATACCCATGCTTTCTATTTTAATCCCATTCTTGAGCCCTGGACTTTGTCCTGATGAATTTACTGACCCATTGCTTAGGTATCCAAGCAGAGGAAGACCACAGCTTCAACCAGCAGTCTAAAATTTAATCCTGTCTGCGGTGGTCTCTTCTTTCTCACCTTTCTAGGAGACAGACTTCAATATCAGCTGAGGGAAAGCTCTCTTAAATATCTCTACAGACAGAATAGGAATAGCAACAGAGGGTTCATTATAAGCATCCTAACTCATGTTTCTGTTATGATGCATATCCTGTTACACAGGATAATAAATGCTCCCGCCAATGGTTGCTCACCTATTTCAAAAGGACCTTCTGCAATTCTTCACAGCAACAGAGATGAAAAAAGCAAAAAGACAAGTCAAAACTAAAGTCAATAAAGAGACCTAAGTATCACATATCTCACTGAGGATGTTCAATACTGTAGCCAAGGATCAAGGAAGAGCCCAGTCTGTTCCACAGCTCTGGGAAACCATTTGTGCTACTTAAAAATTAAATCTCAGGCACTGTTCTGGAAAAAACACTTTTCTTTATAAGCCTGAGTTTTTTCCAGTGATCAGTTCCAATTTCTTACTGTAGAAGACACCCATTTTTCCCCCTGTATACTGTTACTTTGAGTTTCTTGAAATCCTGTATCATACTATAAAGTTGTGCATGCACATAGAAGTACATGCAAACGCGTAAGCTGATGGCATATTGAATCTTTATTTATAGTGCAACAATCAGCTGGAAGTAGCTGTAGAATTCACACCCTTTAGCAGAGGATGAAACATTTTTTTCAGGTCCTCTGACTCCCTTTGTCTGCTGCCATGTTTTTCTATGCTATAGTCATTTATCTGAGCATTTTTTATAACTATGTACATATACTTGTTTCCGTACTTGAGCTTTCTAAAACTGTATATAGCTGGGTTGGAGAAAAGGCAGAGAAACAACACAACAGATTCTATTTATGAAGTCCAGAGAAGAAGAGAATAGTGTTCTTAGAAACAGGGATAGGCAGCAGGGATAACCTTCCAAAATGAGGAAAAATTGTTTTGGGCCAGTGGCTGTCAATATCCCATATAAAAAGTTCTGAGTTGACGGAAAGCTGGAAAGCACAGACATCAGGTACCAGAGAAGTGCTGCTTTCCCGTGAGCTTCATTATCTGTGGCCCCATGTCACTTAATAAGCTTGTTTAACAGGTCCTTTTCAGGACTGCTGCATCTGTCAGTGCTGAATAATTGTAAGGTGCACTAAACGCTCCCATGAAAGAGATCTAACACTTTGGTAGCTGAAGCAGAGGTTTATTGTCAGCTGAAAAATAACCGGTGAAACTCTCACAGTTTCAGCCCCTCAGCGGATCTGCTCTGTGGAAGAAGTTCAAACTTAATAGGTGTTATAAATAATTCTGACAAATCTTGAAGAATTTTCTCTGTTAGTACCTTCCACTTGGCTCAAGGCAATGGAAGAAGGATATTTAGATTCAGACAGGAAATAAATACAGCCTGATAATTCAGTCATGACAGCTGTTCCGTTCCTTGTAAACACAACTCTTCATTCATGCTAAGTAAGAAGAAAATAAATCTAATAAAATCTAGATGGAAATTACAAGATTTTAAAAATGTATGTATTCCAAAGATAAATTAAAAAAAAAAAAATTCTTGTGGAGAATACTTTTAGGTTGTTCTGAGTAAAATCAGAATATTTTATTCCAATTATGTCTTATTTTTTAATGCTTTAATGTTTTAGAAAATACACTTGATTTCAGGAGGATTTTTATCTGAGCAGTTTAAGTTCCATATGGGGCTTTTAGTTTGTTTCAGGCTGTATAATGCCCTTCTAGAAAACCTTTAACCCCTTGGGAACTTTTGACTTAGATGAGACTGTGTTTCAGTAATGTATGAAGTAGCTCTGTTGTATATAGCTGGCAATTGCTTTGAGCATCTTTGATTCAACAAGACAAAATAACAAACATAGGTTCATGAAGTGAAGGGAAATGTCATTAAGGGTAAGTGGCATTATAACAATATATGTTTGCATGAGAGCTCTGGAAATAGTGCAGGTGTTTCAATGATATTATCATGGCAAACACAGTTCTTCTTGATAAAAAGTTTTTATTTAGAAAAAAAAGTACACACTGTGATATGTATAATGTTAGCTAAAAAGGAGGTCATTAAATCCAAACTTTGCTGTTGTAATGAACACCTTGGACTACACTGAATTCCCAGTGTACTACTCCAGTAATGCTCCAGATATTTCAGATATTTATTTAAATAGGGACAAACATCCTCAAACATCCAAAAAGGAAATAGTTTAAACTGCAAGACAAAGACTTTTGTCGTTTCATGCCACCAAATGTCTGCGTGAGCCTTGAAGTGCACCACAGAAATATTCGTGACAAGGAAGATAGTGAGATAACAGAACTAAACAACTTGTAAAAATGTGGACTGACTATTTAGGCTATAAATCATGCACATGTGTATCTTTGTTGTGTGGAGTCCAAGGAAGAAGATTCTAAGGAGCAAATACTTGACTGGATACTGGTGCTCAGAGAGCTCTGTGTTGTGGAGGTGTGAATGGAGCTTAGCAAGAGGCCAACAACTAAATGAAATTCTGCTGTTTCCGGGAGCTGCTGAGGTGAGGAGTCAGTATAGCCTGCTATTGGCCAGCTCTCAGTTTTGGTTATGTTTGCAAGCTGGAGAAGGCTGTTCCCTGGTATTTTCAAGTTTTTCAATACTGCAACAGAACCTGAGTCCATGGCGGCTACTCCATATTAGGCTAGGAATTGATATCTCAAAAAATAATAAGCTGGGATACTTATTTGATAACCCTGTGCTTTCTTTCACTCTCTTCAAGGTATCAATATATGTTTAGCAGCTTGTTCTTATTTTAAATGGGAGCAAAAGTCAGTAAAGGCTCCTCCTTTCATGTTTCTTTTAATTTTCATAAGCTGTATTTTATTATCAGTGTTGTGAGGCTCTAAGCTAGCGCTACATAAGTTGCTACTGAGCATCTCACAGCAGGAATCTGTTACTTGGTTTTGCAGGGCCATTCACATTCTATTCTCAGCTGTAGCATACGAGATGTAGCGGGTTTTTTAATTCACATAGTTTCACTGACTGTAAGGCTCTGGTTATGGAAGAAATTGTGCCAGTGCAGACACTGTTATCTACTGAGATTAACCAGCAGAGATTATCACACTGCAAATCTCTTAGATGGTGCAAGGATTGAGAAAGTTAAATTCTTTTACATCAAAGAGACGTAGATATTTTTTAAAGCTTTTAAAAATATATT